AATTTTTATTTGCGATCCCTTTGTTGAGATTTTTAATTTTCTGATGTATAAAAAGTTTGAGGTGAATGAGATCATTCATTGATGGTGGGAGTAGGGTTACTAACATTCCAAACTTGGAATAAAAGTTTCAAATAGTGAAACTATGGACAATTTCAATCCTGTATCTATGATATCTGCAAACTGTGATATAGTATCATTTTAAAACATGATAATCATTTCAAGTATTTTTCAACGTATATATCAACACATTAGTGGTGCACAATTCTTTTTCCAACGCATCCAAATTAAATCCACAAGTGACTAAAAATTCATGTTTTGTTGTTTTTTTCCAAGTTCATTTAACTTTTCAACCACTCGTTTACAAATTAAGATAACCCTTTATAAATATATATTTGAATAATTGCTTATTGAAATAATTGCTATGTTAACTATAAAATAGAGATTGGCAGAGCGAGCACACACGCACAACACACACCTCATTACTCGCTCCATCCAATTCAACTCCGTGCCTGCTCAGAATATCATCACCCCATTCCACCTTATGGAAATGTTCATTCACACCATCGAGATTTTTATGTAACACTTCATTGAATTTTTAATTGAAAAAGTTTTTCGTCATGTTTGCAAAATGTAATGAAAACATGAAAGGAAATAAAGAATTAATTGAAAATGCTGCTTGGTTGTAATGTACTTGCGTTAGGTTTACGTTTCAAAAATGTTAAATGAAGAGATGAACAGTAGTGAGGCTTTTGAATTCATTCACCTCTGCAAAAGATAAAACTAATTTGTACAGCTTGTTTGTGCTGCATATCAAAGGAAGGACCCTTCATTCGTTTGTGCTGCATATCAACGGAAGGACCCTTCATTCGTTTGCGCTGCATATAAAAGGAAGGATCCTTCATTCGTTTCAATGTAGTCGACGCTAGTCTCTTTTCAAAGCACGCGATGGAATTTGTACATAAAATAATTTTCATACTTCTTCCAACTATAGTCTAGATTGTTAGAATTTTAAGAATTGTGATTAAATAGTCAGAATTAGAAAAAATTGTTCAGCACATGTAAATTTAAAATTTGAAATACGGCAGCAATATTAAATACAAAAAAAATTGTAAGAAATATCTTAGAATTTGATTTTGTCATCGTAGCAAATAAATAATCATCATGCACCATGCACCATGCACCACACACCATGCATCATGCATCATTTATTGAACATCGCAGATCATCCATTATTAAAACCATTGGTGCAGGATCAATCGCGCGTGTATTGAGCGTGTGAATGCTTTCCAGTGCTCCTGTTGATGTTTTGTCCACAAAACTACTTTCAACTCCGTAAGCTTGAAATATTAAGTTTTCAACGTGCGAAACAGAATTTCTGGTATCAAAAAACGTTTGTAATGTTGGTCGAGTGAGAGCTGTGATCCAGATGTTGGGATGTTACAGCTGTGAAAAAAATATTTGAATAATTCCATCGTACGCTGATAAGTTCAAAGGTCAGACTAACAAATCATTCTTATAATTTCGAAATCTCGCTACACTTTCATTAGTTGTATATCAACAAATATGCAAACAATAACGTCGATGGAAGTAAAAATGAAATTAACTTGCAAAAGCATTAACACGCAGTAACATTCACACTTTTAAATGAATGTGAGTGTGTGTATATGTATGTATATAAAAACCTTCATAGACCTTCATGTAGTAAATAATTAAACTAATTATATATTTATTTATTTATAAAAATGAGTAAATAAATAAAAAATAAGAGATAAATATTGCAAATTTGACCGCAACTGGGCGGCCTGACTTCATTACTCAATCGTACAACCTTCTCCTGAACTTCAACGTAAGAACAACTTCTTTTACAATTATTTTATGCCTCTGAAGATAATTGAATGTAGGCTCTCTACCGGCATTTGCCATAAAACACCAAAATTACAGTTATTAAACGTAACGATTTTTTCGCTAAACTTTCATGAACACGGATCTTGTAAGAATAAATTGAAAAATTTTCTTGTACAACACACGTAGATAGAAAAACTTTCCAGCCAGTCAGTCGCCACGCTAATTCCGACAAATGTCATCCCGACATGACGATCATCATCAGCATCATCGTTACACGTCACCATCATTTTAATCATCTTTATAACCACATGTTCATCTTCTTCATCATCTTTCAAGCTACATTTACATCTTCTTCATCGCCTTTATAACCTCGTCGTCATCATTACATTTCATCATCATCTCCACCATTTTTATAATTACGTTATTATCTTCATCATCACCTTTATAAACATATCATCATCATCTTCGTCGTCATCATCATTATTACAACGTCTCATCACCGTCTTCATCATCACCTTTAAAACCAGATTATCGTCGCCTTCGTCATCTTGTTGAATTCGCCGATGTGTTTACAAAACTTTGCGCGATTTGATGAAATTTAGTTGTACGAAGAATATCTCAGTCATGTAAGCTTCTTTCTGCCACGAAAAGTTTGTCATTATTAGAATTTTTATTAAGTATTTGTTCATTGTAGTTTTTTATGTGCACTAGTAGAGAGGGTTTCTGTGTAGAAAGATCACTAAAATTGTTTATTTTTCCATAATTTTTATTTTGTTGAAGACGTTTTTTAAATTTCCTTCATTGATAAGTGACAAGTTTTTTGTTATAAGTGTATTGAAAATATGTCTGATTTGGATGTTAATTCAGTATAAAAATAAGAATATTAGCAGAAAAAAATCTAATTTCTGATGGAGACAAAAAAGTTGAAATTGGATCGCGCCGGTTGCGGTAAATCTCCTTGCAGGTTTAATCAGCAGAGATGATGGCGACGAGTTCGGATGAAATACTAACGTGGGATGAAATATATTCTTAAGAACAGTGCAAAAACAAAATAGGGCAATGACTTTTATATTTAAAAAAAATTTAAACAGCACAAAAAACACTGGCACCATAAAATAAATGAAAAATTTATTTGAAAGATTGAAGTTTTAAGAATGCGCAGCACAAAAGACAAATTCTTCTCAGTAAAAATAACTTTTATCACCAGAGTGGCCAAATTTGTGATAAAAAATGACTCGCAATCTTAAATATTACTAATGATTTCAATGCAAAATACATTTCACCGAAGGAACATTTATAACGTGATTGGTGGATTGGACTCGTAATGTTAAGCTGAATTGATGAGCATAATGATCAATCGTTTTCAAATTAAAGTTGACCTCTACTGACCTCTGTTGACCTTTGCTGACCCAACGTGAGGCTGTGCTGCTCCAGGAACCACTCATGGGCACTCCCTTCCAAACGTATCATTTTCACATTTGTTAGTTACGTGATTGCTTGTACTGAAGCACCTAGCTCAATTTCAACAATCATTGAATTGAATTTCTAAAGTGAAAAAGATATTTTTTTTGGCAATTCTACAATTCAAAGATTTGTTTGAGAGTATTTCAACATAAAGATAACACTGCAAATGTAAAAATAATAATGTCAATATAACACAAGTACGGACAATTTATTTTTTAATTTTCCATTTTCCTTAGTACCTCATTTGAATGTGTGTGTGTGTTTCTGTGTGTGTGTGTTTCTGTGTGTGTGTGTATGTGTGTGTTTCGGTGTGTGTGTGTGTGTTTTGTATTATTTTATAAAATTTTATACTATTATTTAAAAATTAAAAAATTTTTAATACGAAAATAAATTTCTGAAGCATCGCATGACTTAAGAAATTTTATTTCAACTGAGCAAATAATTAGGATAAAAATGTAATTCTTTGACGAAATGAAACAGGATCCAGCTTAAGAACATGACATTCGATTGCATTGTAGTAGATTCAGAAGCATACTAATAATGGTTCCAGTGTTGTTTAGGTTGGATTAGTAGTTATTCTCCAAATTTATACACAAACATTTTTAAACTGTCAAAGGGCTTAATCAGAGTCTTTCCAAAATAATGATGTGGGCATCACAAGAAATAGCAGTGAAACGTGAAAACTAAATTTAAAACCAGGTTGAAAAAAAATGGAAAAAAAAGTGGAAATGTTTTGCAAGCTAAAACCTCTAAAAAGATTTCATTCACGTGTCATAGTAGCGCCAGAACAAGTGAACAAAGAAGCATGGCCTTTCTTGTATATAACGACAGTTAATAAATTTTACGTACATGCAAATGTGTTTCGTCTTTTGTACAGAGTTGTACATACAAATGTGGATATGTTTATGATGAATCTATGTGTTGTTTATAGGCGTGAATGGGTTTATAAGTGTACGATTGAATCTATGATTGAGCCTCTTATTGCAAATGTGTTTGGTCATTTGCTGTTTTGTTCAACATCCGCAATTGCCAACGTCTTAGGAAAACTGCATTACGTACTGAACTGTACTGTATTGTATTGGTCATTGTACATTATATGATACATTTATACATGAAACAAACAAACATTGTCAAACATTGTACATAACACGAGACATTATGAATATAAATGTTCGTTTTGCATTATGAGATACATTATACTTACGGTGACACACCTCAGCCAACGAACAAGGAAGAATCTTTTTTTCATTGAGCAATAAATTGAAACCATTAACTGCTTTCGTATAAGACCACTTCAAGAGCAAGAAAATGCATTTCGTGTGAAGTTGAAATCTGCTAATGGCGAGCTTCGACGCAAAATAACCATTAGAAATTAATTTACTTTTCCAGTTGTTTTTACTTTTAATGTTGTTTTTTTCTAACTTATCAATATCTTGCGATGTATCAAAAACAATTAAATTCAATTTTCTGGTTCATTGCAACTAGTCAACTCTGCTCAACTGTCGTTGTAGTTAATGCTTTCAATGAAATTTATTTTAAATCGCTTTTATTATTATCATTATTAAAGCATTTGCAAAAATTAATCAACTCATATTTAAAATTGGTTAAAAAATTTTAATAGAGAAAAATGGTAAATGTTGACAGAATATTTTAATAAATACTTTTCGATGTTTATTATTTTCACTTTTCAGATTCTGCACAGTGGAGCGAGCTCTGCGCATACTGGCCTGTTTGTGGTTGTTTGGATTGGCCTACTGCTCCCCCTGGCTCTTCCTGGCCGACACCAAGCAGAGCACCTACGACGATGGGACCATGACGGAGGAGTGCACGTTCAAGATAGCCAGGAACCACTACTTCATCTACTTCATGGCAGACCTCATCGTCTTCTACCTTCTGCCGCTGATCACCAGCGTGCTTCTCTACGTCCTCATCGCAAGAAGATTGTACCGAGGCGCTGGCATGCGAGCTTCTGACAGGTCGGAGTGTAGTGCAGCAAGTTGCAGCAGCAGCAGTGGAAGAGGATTTGGTAGGTATATCAAGCGATTCAGTAGGAGCAGCGTGGATAGTGCCAATTATTGCGCAACGTCATTCTCCAATGTGGTCGACGATGTTTCCGATAGAATTGGAAACGAGAGTGATGTGGAGAGGAGTAGTTGCGAATATTTTGTTGAGCAGAAATGTTGGGTGGATGAAGTGAAGGCAGCCAGTCCAAAGTATCGCTGTATGCAAAAATTGAAGTTTTTTGAGGTTAGCAAGAATGTTATTTCATTAGAAGTGCTAATATTTCATTTACAATTTTATGTTAATATAACCATATTAATTTTTTTTTCAAGAAAAAGTTTAAATTTTCAACCAACGCAAAAAATAATAAAATATTGCGTTCAAATGTCAACAATGAAAAAACTGAATTCAAAATGATGACTGACAACAAAAATGTGAGCATCACCGCAAAGGAACCGTCAGTCGAAAACAACAAAATTAATATTAACAACATTTGTTCGCCTATACACACAAATCCGCAATTCGATTACAATTTACTTTTTGACAAGCAGCATCAATCCATCATAATTATCATAAGCAAGGAAGAAGAAAACGACGGCAACAACAGCAACAACTGCAACAGTAAAACCATTAAAAAACGAGCCACGGAAACAGAAGGCAAGCGCTCAGATGCCATCGTAAAGCTTGGTGGCAATAATTTAACCGTGAACAATGCTTACAATAAAAAAACTCACAAAAATAAAACTAGCCAAAAAGCTGAAAACAATGCAAACACCGTCAACAACAACAGCAACAAAAACGACAACAACACTTCGTCGCACAATTCAAACAACACAATTGCTCATAAACAAACCACATTTGCCAACAGGAATAGAGTGCAGGTGAGTAACTCATCAACAGTATCGTCTTAGTTATTTCCATCATCATCCCCATTATCACTGTTGTTATCTTGCATATTATGGGTGCTTATCATCATAATCCACGTTTCATCAGTCAGATCATTATCATTGTAATTATAAACATAATTCCATTTCAACATCGTATTAAAAACATATAATCGTATAGAATTGTATTCGACAAACATTTTTTTCAAACTTAGCATCATTTTTTCCAACAGTCATATTATTCTCCACCTTGTGGCTTACTCATCTCTTCCGTTACCACTCTTGTCACTACTGTCTCCTATTCCATCTCCATCATTCTTACTCTCATGTTTTCGCACCTTCTCTGCTATTTTTTTGTTCTTGTTAAATCTGATACATACATTTACTTCTGCATCACAAAATTTCAACAAGCGTCATAAACAAAGGAGCAATATGCATCTGAGCTAACATTGAACAGTTTGATCAACATTGCTAATGAAGTTTGAGGAAAATGGTGTTTGAGTGAATAAGCTCCATGAAACTATTATTTTAAATTTGTTTTATTTATAAAACCAGCAGTTTATTTTACCTTAAAATTATTAAGTGAAGAATAATATTAACGCCTACATTGCAATCAGGGAATTATTTAGCATAAAAATTGTTTGATTTTGAAACACAACGTGCCTGAAATAATGAATATTTTGCAAAATGCAAATCTGCATATTTTTGTTGTCTGGTGGGAAGCATTAAAAGGAGGTAGAATATCAGCCAAATGATTTTCCAGTTTGTCTTCACCACTTCTTCGTCATTATTGAAATCACCTCACAACTTAGTTTTTTTCTTATTGGCATCCTGTTAAAAAAACTTACATGAATAATTAAAAAGTTGAAGAAATAAATATTAACAAATTCGATGTGACTCGATTCGATTGCAAGAAGAGCCAACCAATCAGATCACATTTACACACGAAAGCATATTATGTTATTTGAAAACATGTAGCGCATATGTCTGTGTTTTTGTTGATGGTTACGACGAGTTGATAGATAATAGAAAAAAAAGAAAAATATTAATGATGTTAAGATTCACAATCGTTGCAACACCAGCTCTTTAATTTAATTTTTATTGGCAAAATTATTTAGCTTTAGGCAAACAAATCAGCTGACAGAAACAGCCAGAGAATTCCTTGGATTGAAGTGAATTTTATATTGATCGCCAGTAGGCTGCCAATTTCAACTTGCCACTATGTAGGTATGCCACACATCCAGGAAGTTCGTTCTATTTACCAAAAATAATCTTTTGTCAAAAAATGTTCCTATTTCTGTCAGCCTGCGACTTTCCTTACGTTATGCAGTTTATTTTGGCGCTTTTTCCGCACAGATTTACTATACATTACATTGAGATATCTTTTATGTTTTTTGTTTGTGTAGCTTGGGTGTTAGTGTGTAGTGTGTGTGTGTGTGTGTGTGTGTGTGTGTGTGTGTGTTAGCATTTGTGGTTGTGTAGTAAGTGGGTGTGTGTGTGTGTGTGTAGCGCGAGTGTGTGTGGTGTATGGTGTGTGCGTGCGTGCGTGTCAGTGTATGTAGGGCTAGGGCGAGTGTGTGTATAAAAAGTGTACGAGTTCGCATGCGTTTATAATACGATAACAAAAAAAGAATGATGGATGAAATGATGGTCAATTTGAAAGAATGCATAGAATAGATAATGAAATATCGGACCGCAATGGTTTCAGTTGCGTTAATGCATTCTTTGAACATCTGTCTTTATACGCCGAAATAATTGTTTATTTTCTTGCTCCTTAGAAACTAATAACAAGCTAACAAAGTAAGAAAACCGTTTGATACGTATCCTAAATATCCATTGTTAGTTGATCGCAATCTTCCATTAAATTTTTTTTCAATGAAAGTGAAATTGTAAAAAAAATTTTGTGAAATTCATAAAACAGAATGTACGATTATCTTAATAAAAATAACTAAGTCAGACTTTAAAAATGTTGTTGCCTAAGAATAACTTCATTTGAGCATTTATAAAGTATGCTACTAGCACCAGCAAGGCAAGCAGGCAGGCATACAATTGTAATATCAAGAGATGAAGCGTGAACATGCGATTGCCAATCACATTAAGCCGAATTTATCACCAACACTGCTCATTTTTCATATATTAAGTCATTTATTAAGTTCATTACAGTTAATAATTATTATTAAATGTCAATTTTTTAAGTTCAATAAAATCAGAGAGTTTACACAGATATTTCAAAAATCAAATTTTAAAAATAAATTCTTTAACAAGTAGTTTGAATGCAACTTGTGCAAATCAAAGCATGAAAAGCATTTCCAATTTTATTATGTTGAATAAAAAATAGTGAGAGTGTTTGGAAGATGTTGGATAAAAATCGGCTTGGATGTATGAAGATAACTAGCAGGGAGGATGTTGTGCACGCACACGCAACGTTTGTTCCTCTGATGTAGAACCTCCCTGCGTCTATAAATTATTGAAAAGAGGAAGACAATAAAATATTCAAGTGAGCAATTATTTTATCTCGGCTATCTGCAATCATTTCTACGTTGTTTCTAGGAATTCATTGTAAAAATGTTGCGCCAACCACTGAATATGATATGATGACAATATGAAGTTAAGAACGAATGGCATGAAAATATGGAATGAGTGGAGGAAGAAGGAAGATGGAGGAAACCAATTTTTAAGAGGGAAACATCAAAATAAGAAATTAACAAAAAACCAAGCAGGAACAAAAAAAGTGACGTATATCCTGAAAATCAATGATACTGGTTTCCATGTCGACAACCACACATAACCACATTCATGCAATACCACAACCACATATAACCACAATCACACATCACTACAGCTATGCATCGCACAACAACGGCGGCGTGATGGCTCAATGGTTAAAGGCGCCTGGTCTTGCTATTGCAATGACTGGGTTCGAATACAAAGAGATCCCCATCTATCATATGCAATGTGTATGATGCGCGGTTCGCACGCATATTCATATACGCTGTGTGTGTTTGTCGTTGAAACCTCTGAAGCTAATGCAAAAGAGAGAGAGTAACCTTTAACCTTTTAACTTTTAACCTTTAACAACCACACATCGGCACAGCCACTAATAATGATAGTTGTGAAATTCTGCCCGGACAGCATTTGAACCAAGTGAACCCACTGAGGAAGCAACCGAAAGCGCTGCACTTCATCCGCCTGAGCTAACATGCCGAGTGATTTATGATTGCGTTCATTATTCGTAATTTTTAAAAAGAATTATTCATTGCCAAAAATTTTTTTCTTCATAGTCTCTGCTTTTATTTTGAGTTCCAACAAAAACTTAAAAAATTACTTCCGCACTTAACATTTTCAATTTACGACATTTTATTACAGAGGTTTTGCTTTTTATAACTTAGCCATTGCCTGTCGTAAATTATTTGACGCATTTTAAAAAAGTTGAAAATAATTATTCTTTCCGCTGTTTTAAACGACCGTGCATGTTTTAACTGGATGTTTATTACTCTCTATGTTTCCTTGTTCAGATGTTCATACAAAAAAGGGAAGTTTCAATTTTTCAATTTATATAGCGCCTAACGCCTGTGAAGCGTTTGTGGAATCAACTTTTTATTCGGAGGCATAATGAGCAGACGTGCGAAGTAATTAATGCATGAGGCATGAGGTGGAGATCTCCTTTGCATTCGATTCGAACCGGATAACAGCAACCAGTTGACCAGATGACCAGACACTTTGCCACTACACTACACCTTCTTGCCCTCGTCCTTCTTTAAAATTTCTGGTAATTTATTGTTTTATTAATTTTTTTAGTTTTTGAGATATAACAAACAAGATAGCTAACTTCAAATTTTTAGTTTTTTTTCACATTTTTTTGGAATAAGACAACTGTTCTGTAGTTTTTTTGCCATTTTGAATTTTTCATCGAAACCAGATGTAAAATTTTGTGACATTAACTTACTGCGACAACGGCCCAACAACAAAATTTTTTGAGTAACATGAGGAGTAACATTCATGATGATCATGTTTACGCCCTTCCTCTATAAATTCGTTTTTTCTGCTGCGTTTGTTTTTGTTGATGTTTCTCATATAAAAAAAAAACCTTAAGCAAATAAAACGGAAATGAAACTTAATTGTATATTTTATTACTTATTAAAAAACCAGAGGTGCTTCATCATTTTGAACGCAAAATTAAAAAGGATGGCACACATTACAACAAGACACAAGACATAGAGAGAGAAAGAGAGAGAGAGAGAGAGAGAGAGAGAGAGATCTAGGCAATACATACAATGTATCCAACGAATATAAGAATGACCATTAAATTTTTAATTTGAATGTTTTTTATTTGCTTAAGGTTTTTTTCTGTTTATTAAATAATGAAAATTTCAGTTAAAACTTTGACGGTATCTTTAAAGAGAAAATAAACGATAAAATTATTTCTATTGGAACATTTTGGAGAATTTTTTATTAAATAAAATTAATTTAATTCACTGGTATGATCAGGTGATCAAGATGTTGGCCATTGTCGTTTTGATGTTTGCTGTTCTGTGGTTGCCCTACAGGGCTTATGTCGTGTACAATTCGCTTGCCACGCCCCTCTACTGCAGGTGGACATTGTTAACTGTGAGGTAGGTGGGTTGGTTGGATGGTTGGTTGGTTAGTTGGTTGGTTGGCTAGCTGGTTGGCTGGTTGGTTGGTTGGTTGGTTTGTTGGTTGGTTGGTTGGTTGGTCGGTTGGTTGGTTGGTTGGTTGGATGGTTGGTTGGTTGGTTGGTTGGTTGGTTGGTTGGTTGGTTGGTTGGATGGTTGGATGGTTGGATGGATGGTTGGCTGGTTTTTTAAGTGAAAATTTTGGTGGTTAAGTGATAATGTTAATTGATAATGGTCGTGTTGATAAAGATGTCTCTACTAATGTACTAAAAAATTAAATGTAGATTTTAAATTTACAAATTACTGAAAAAATTGGAAAAACTACAATTTTCAAACAACTTTATAAACTGCAAACCACGGAAATAAATTTTATCGGCATATTTTTTCAGTCCTATTTTCCGTGGTTTCAAGTATTTTTATGCTGGCATGCATTCATACGCATAAACCCGCATTTTCATATGCGGTGTGTTTTATATATTTAATTAAATAAGTGGGTGACTTGTTTGAATGATGATTATATTTTGTGTTTTTGTGCATGCGTGCTTAGATGTGTGTGTTTGAATGTTTGTGTGTGTGTGTGTGTGAGAGAGAGAAAGAGATTAGCTTTTCTGCGTTGTTTGTTCTCACAGAATAATTATCAACGTTTTTTAGGTTTGTTATATTGAATTTTTTAATGCACATTGATGCTTGTTAATGCAGGCAAACCTGACAGAGACATGTGAAGTTTTAATGAGGGTGGACGTTGAAATGAGTGGACAGTGAATCATGCAGTGAATCAATCCGTCAAAAAAAAATTTTGTTCTTTGTGTGCATTATGACGCAATTGGTATTGTCATTATCTTAATGATTAAAACATGATGATGATTCATAAGGAATGACAAAAACATTATCGTCAAACTATTTCAACAGCACAAGTTCGAAGAGGAAAAAATTAATGAGCCAAAAATTCAGTCCGCTGATGGATTCAAAAATTTTTTGGTTTTGAACAACTTTCTAATGAGTTTCACATACAAGGCAGCAAGTATAACGATGAAGTTCACGAATATGAAAAAAAATCGATAGCGTCCAATTATTTCTCACATTCATTTTTATACCTTAAGTGAGTTTTTTAACATTTTGCAAAGGTTTCGCTTGTGGTCTTGGAATACACTGAAAATATGTTAATTTCAATTCAATTTTCACCGAATAAAACCAAACAATAAATTAATTGAAATTGTATAAACCAGTTGCCCAAGCTTCAACTCCTGCATTACAGTTCGAACGTTGAATTTTTGTAAATTTATTAGTGTTTTCCATTAAATTAAATTTATCTAAACTGCTTCTCGTTACTTTGCTACATTTTATTCTTCCAATTTTTATCTATACGGATTAACTTGTTCAAAGGATGGACGCAAGTGTTACGTCCTGAAAAATATTAATATTATATTAACTTTGATTCGTAGGTACTTATTTGCATGTCAACTGTAAGGAAATAAATTTCAATTTTGAGATGCTTGAAAAACACATGAAATTAATAAAAAACTCTCATTACCTTTCTATTATGTAAATACATTTCAATACTTCAATCCCAAGCAAAAATTAGCGCGTATCTCGAGTTTTCCGCGAAAAGCCCTACTTTCTGGATTCAATTAATTTTTTCAAAACCGTAATATACATATTTTATTAAATTTTTCTCCGCGTGGAGTCTTGCCAATTTAGTTATTAGGCATACAAAGACAATTTTTATTGTTTTCAGTTTTGAAAAGTTGGATCTCATTTTAAGTACATCTGAAAATAAATTGTAGGTACTTAATTACGCTCTTTTAATGCTTGCACGATCTTCGGTT